AGGTGTTTCCAGCAACTCAAAAGGTTTTTTATCCTTCTTGATTCGATCAGAAAGAATATCAATTTGGTGCTCTCATTGAGACCTCATCCCTCTCCAATAGTCGCAAGCAGCTGTTGTATTCCTTCCCTCCATGGTTCCAACCCACTGGCCATTCCTCAATTTCCTGTGTAAACATGCCGCAAGAGCTCCTTCCCACCTTCTTCTACCTTGCAGGTTGCTCGCTGTTTGTGGTTCATCCCTACCCTCGCCTTCAAGCATCGAATGTCCCAAGACCACACCCACTAATCTAATTGCCGCAAGAAGCTCTGGCCACATTTTGGTCAGCTGCTTGTGATTTTTCCCAAGAACCAGCCCAATATTTCTTGGCAGCGCCATTTAGCATTCTAGGCCTCCATTGGGATCACAATCCTCAAACCAAGCTTTACTTTCTTGGTTTCTCTCCCATCCCATTAAGAACTGATTTATTTCAAGCAATCCTTAATTCTGCTGCCCACATATCTCAATCTTTCATTTAAGACGAAGAACTCAAATTTGGCAGAAGCGTTATGTACCATGCAATCCACTCAAGATTCACAATTTTCAGAAATTCAAAAATCGCTACAGCAAATGGATGCTCAATTTGCTTCCATCAGCACAAAATTGCAACAATTTCAAGTATTCATAGACTCCATCGACAAGCACCTCGTCAGCCTCTGCTTGGATCATCCAACTTCTTCCCATCACGAACCACCGCCATCCACTGGGATTCTTGGATTAGTCGTTCTATTTTCATCTCCTCAACACTCACCAATCAATGCAGGTTTACCTTTTCTTAAAAACATGAAAATCAAACTTGCTTTAACGGATCTAATGTGGAAATTTGGATCTTTAAAGCTCAAGAATATTTTGATTTTCATAATACACCAGATTACAACAACATAAGAATTGCTTCATTTCATCTTGAAGGTTTTGTTGGCTACATGGTATCAATAGATTCGCATGAACTTTTTTCTTGGCCCGACTTCATGATATCATTACAACAATATTTTGGTATTTCTCACTAAGAAGATTTATATGGTAGTCTCTCCAAATTAACCCAACAATCATCAATTCTTCAATATCAAATAGCTTTTGAAAATCTTGCATTCAAAATTCTAAATCTTTCCGAATCTACTCTTATTAGTTATTTCTTCTCTAGTCTCAAACAAGAAATGTGTCGGGAAATTTTATTAGCCAAGCCCATTACTCTTCTAGATGCCACGGATTTAGCTCGCTTCCATGAATCCAAATATTAAGATTTGCTTGCAATTCCTTCTTAAAATTGGCAAAAATCATTTACTCCACTTATCCCCAACAAATCTACCCACTCTTCCACACCCTCACTTACAGGACAATCATCTACCTACATTTCATCACCAAATAACTCATCTAAACTTCCCAACTGCCCATCCGCAAGCTCTCTCCTTCACAAATTCAATTTTGTTGTGAGAAAGGACTTTGTTTTAAGTGTGATTCAAAATTTAAACCTCAACATTGTTGCCCTAGTAAGTTTTATCTCTTAATGGACATTGATGATTCTGATACTATAGATGACCTGCAAAATTCGCCTAACTACATCGATCCTCAAGATTTATCCCCATAAATAAGTTTAAATGTTCTAGCCAGACAATTCAATACATGTTCTTTTTGTTTAACTGGCCATATCAATAAACATAATGAATATATTTTGATTGATAGTGATAGCACTCATAACTTTATTCAAGATAACATCGTTCACCAACTTGGCCTTCACACCAAACCAATTAAACAATTCAATGTTTCCATTGGCAATGGCAATTTACTTTTTCACAATTCAAAATATTTTCAAGTTTCTATAAACATATAAGGGTATCCGGTCATTTTAGACTTATTCGTACTCTCTATGCATGGTATTAATATTGTCTTAGGTTTGCGATGACTTAAACATTAGGCTTAGTATTAAATAATTACTTGACCTCACCATGTAATCCTTCATTAGAAAAACCATATTACTCTTTATGGGGAACCACAATTAATTGTTGACCCCATATCGCTACATCAATTTTGTGCATTATTATCACATTCTTCATAGATACAAATTGTTACCCTTTATTCTCATCTTTTGATTAATGACACCCAGTATATCAAATCACTTAACGACACACTTTCATCCATCACTAACACTTTACCTGATTTTATTCTCAATCTTTTACTAAAATTTAAACATTTATTTGACATTTCACAAGGCCTACCCACTACCAATTTCTATTGACCACCTTATAAACCTTCCATAATTTTTCAAACCAGTCAATATTCATCCTTACTGATATCCTCACTTTCAAAAAGATGGAAAGGAACCGTTAGTTAAAGAAATGTTATAATCAAGCATTATTTGTCACAGCCATAGCTCTTTCTCCAATTCTGTTTTCTTGGTTAAAAAACATAATGGCACTTGGCGTTTTTGTGTCGATTATTAAGCACTTAATTCCCTAACTATTAAAGATAAATTTTCAATCCCTACAGTGGATGAGTTATTAGGCGAATTACGTGGTGCCATTTTTTTTTAACTTGACCTCTGCTCTGATTATCATCAAGTTTGAATGCACCCAAAAGACATCCATAAAACAACCTTCCGTACACATGATAGACATTTTGAATTCTTAGTAACGCCTTTTGGACTCACAAATGCGCCATCTACTTTTTAGGCCTTATTGAATCAAGTCTTTCGTTCTTATCTTTGCAAGCTCATAATAATATTTTTTTTAATGATATTCTCATTGCAATGAGGAACATATGATAAAGGATCTGGACATTACATATATATGAAATGCTTTATATCCTACAATTATATTGAATGAAAATCAATGTGCAGCGGCTCTAAACTTTGGATGATCACCCTTTGTTACCACTTACCAACTATTATATGAAATGCTTGCAATGCAATGCATATAAGACTTCATGATTTGTCCATATTAGACCATTATGTTTTTACTTATACTTTGATAATGGTGGCTTAGGAACTCCTCCAGTATTTGTTCTAGCCTCAATTCATTTTGAGCTCTTGAGTCGAGCTGTGATAGTTCGAGTCAATTTTCCATGACCACTGGCCATAAGAGGTAGTTTGATTTGAAATCATTAAAATCTAAAGGAAAATACTTAAGCTAAGGACCGAATGCTGATGCAAAGAGGCAGAGGTGTTAATGATTTTTTTTCCAAATTATTAAATTTAAAAGGAAAGTGTTGAATTAAGGGGAATTTTGGTAGCAAGACTTTATCTAGACATAAGTAACATTAATCTATATCTTGCCAAACAGCCAAAATAATAACTTTAAATCTTATAGAATCTAAACCCCATTTCCCCTCCATTTTGACTTAAATCCTGAATTCAGTAAATCCTGGCATTGGGCTAATTTAACTCAAATCCGCAAGTCTCATGAACTCTTCTTCTTCTTCTTCACATATTGTCGGTCTCACCTAGGAGTGCAAGTGAGCCAAGCCGGCAAAGCTTGACTAGTTTATGGGCTTGCAAGCCGAGCTTATTGAGCTCATGAGTCGACAAGGCTCGGCTCACGAGCTCACAAGCCGGCTCAAATCCCACTTGTAGTTTAAAAAAAGTAATATTTCTGAAATCTCGCTTAATTTTAAAATCCCACTTAATTTTGCAGACCGGTTGTCCGCTTAAAATCACGCTCATTCGTGTTGGATGTTCGCGGATTGAGGAGCTTCGTCGACCGGACGCACTAGGTTCGATGGAGTTTGCAGCTTGAGCGAGGATGACGACTCGCAAGAGGCGTGCTGCATGGGACGAGCGCGAAAGAAGACCGCTCGTCTGCGCGTAGAACGAGCGCAGACGACCAAGAGCAACTGTGACGAGATGTCGGAAGCTCACTAGCTAACTCGAGTTCGCTTATAATGGGACGATCCGAGTTCAAGCTCGCTTTTTGAACTCGACTCGAGCTCGTGTTTGAGCCCACCTTCCAGCTGAGGAGCCGAGCACAATAAGGTCAAAACTCGACTCAACTCGTTTACACCTTTAGTCTCATCGATACATTCTCTAGCAAGCTCCTGTCATGACTTCCTCACTTCTTCATCACCCAAGAGTCTAGGAATTTGAGTAGTGGGCATTTGGAGAAGAAAGAAGAGGGGTTTATATTTTTAAATTATTAATATTACTTTGTAATAATTAAATAAGACATATCAATTAAAAATTACATTCAATCTTAACAATAATTAATTAAAATATGTTAATTTAATTAATACAATATAATTTTTTAATTTTAATTTAATTTAATTTAATAAAATTTATAATGTTTAATTAGTTTTATTAATTATAAATAATGAATAATTATGATACTAATTTATACTAATCATAATTTAAGTAAGAGAGTTAGCATTGATAAAAGTTTTATCAACTAAAATTATTAATAGTCAATCTTATAAATTAGATATATGCGTTAATTAAGCAATTAAATTAATCTTAATAATTAATATTAGTTAATTAAAATTTTATTATCTTAAGTTACCTGAGATTATTTTTTTATTTTTGATCTAATTTTTCTAAATAATTTAATTAGCTTTATAAATTGCTAATTAATTAATAATTGATATACTTAATTAGATTAATTATGATTTAAATAATTTAATTAAGGTTGATATAAACAAAGTAAATATAATAATAACTCCCAATTATATAAATTCTTAAATCCTGAAACAAGTAGCTAAACAAATTTTTTGAATTAAATTTTATTAACTCCTATCAGACTAAACAATTTTTAAGATTTAGCCTACATAAGATTTGAGAATCCTAATTTTACAGGATTTATTAAATCCTACTTGTAGCCAAATAGCCCCTAGAGAGATTTAGAAGTTAAAAAAAATAAAAAGAGTGCAATCATTAACTATGAATCAATTTGACAGCATTTAAGAAAAATAATTTAAAAAGCAGAAAAATACATAAGCTTAAAAAAATAAAAAGAAAGATTGAAATGATTAAAAATGCTTACGCCATCCTTTGAGCACCTCTCATTTTGCATTCATACTCTACCTTGGCAGATAACTTACTCTCTTCAGGGTTCATCCTTGAGAATAACATCGTTTGCAACAGAGACTACTTGACAGTTTAAAAAAAAGGCCAAATATTAGACATTACAATCATAGAATCAGATTATCAGCAAAACTTTTTAGTCTAAGATTAAGTCAAAAGAGCCTAGGATAGCTTAAAAAATAAAATAAAATTATATTAAAAAAACCAAGTACATAAACGAGTTTTTAAGGATTAATGATGTAAAATAAAAATAAAAATCTTCAAGGAACCTAACATGTAATGTATTTTGAAAAGGCATACCTGACATGCAATCGATGCAGATTGCCGCATTAACTTTAGTTCAGATGGAGATTTGATCCATCTAAGTTCATGAGTATAGTACGAGAGGTCTTTTACTTTACCACTGTTCATTGCCCTCTGAAAGGATTCCAGATCAGTATAAGATGTTGAGACTGTATTTCTATTGTGGAATACTTTAGATGCTTTACCAATCATTTCTGGAAGGACCTGCTCTGACAATGGTAGTTTTGATCAAATTAGCAAAGAAAGCATTACTTCTGTAGCACTTAATACAAGATAACCAAAGAAATTAATGGACAAGAGGGTAAAATGCTTCTTATGATCAAATATCAACATCACCTACAGCAGCCTTCACGTTCTATTTAGGCTTCAACTTTTCCTTTTTCTCAATAAATCCATGTCGAGTTCTACAGGAGGAATTAACTCTAAATTATGCAAACCATTTCGAACAATTTCTACTCCATCATTATATATACAGATTATGAATTATTATTGTTGATAAGGCAAATTTACTGACCCAACTAACACCATAAGATATGAGTGGTAGTCACAACATACATTCACTTAGACTTGGCCTACGAACCAAACTGGAATTAAATGTCATCGTAATGTGTTTCGTAATATCTGACTTTCAAGATGATCAAGGCTTTAAGAATGTTACAAATCACCAACTGTTTCACATGCCCTAAAGACAATTACAATGATAGAACCTTTTGTTATCTAAATCATTAAGGATTAAAAAAAGAAAAAAAATTCAAATGATTAAAGCTTCCAAATTTTGGTCAAAGTAGTATTTTGTTGGCTTATCTTTGAAGCTTTAGAGTTGAACTTCCCAGTGTAATACAAGATACTGAAGGTTCTTTCATCTATCCAGGCAACAAAACAGGTTATGTAAGAGCCATGACTTCATAAATGTGACAGTTTTAACATGGATCCTTACTCTGAAAGATGGTTCTAATGGTAAGGAAGGACCAAAGCCTCTGTTGCATCAATAGTAATCATGAGTTTTTTTTTAAAAAAAGGCAATCATGAAGTCACATAACACCATAAACACCCCCATTTGAACCAAACCAAACACAGACATGCATCACCCACATTATCATTAGCTTTATCCCAACTACTTGGGACTGGATTTATGACTCCTGATTCTCCAATCAACCTTGTCAAGCGTTGCATGAGGTTAGACCTATTTTATGCAAATCTCTCTTCATAACTTATAGCCAAATACCTTCAATCTACTATTTTTTTCTAATCATTCAATTTATACCCACGATATTTGTGTATCTTCTACCCTTCGTTGGATATATGCCCAAATAACCCAAATATATTTTTCACTACTTTATATTTAATAGATGCTACCACCATTATCCCTCTATAATATAAACATTTCTTAATTTATTATTCATAGTTTTGCCACATATCCATCTTAATATTCTTGTTTTTATCATGAACTTGACTATTAATGGCATATTTATTGCTATACTATAAGAGGGGTGAATTCATTGTACACACTACACTCAGAGCTTGAAAGATCTTCTATTCCACATGCCATAAGCAAGCACAATGTAGTACAGATAATTTAACTTAAACAAAAATGCATACACAAGGGAACCAATCGACATGATGGCGATAGAGAGATGTTATGCTAAATAGAGATATACGAACTTTGAGAGAAATCATATTTATAAAATCAAGATTAGCATATAAACTTGGAAGCATTCAAATCAGAACATAGATAACCAAGTAATGTTTTAGAAATGTAAAGGCAAGATAAAGTTAATAAACAATGCAAATTGATTTTTACATAGTTTAACACCAACCACCAGCGTTCACGTCCCAAGCAGCTTTCTCTTGGAAAATTAATCAACCACATATATATATATATATATATGTTTGGCTGTAAAAATAGTCTTTTAAGCAATTAGCGTTAGTTCAAAAAAATTGGCTATAGGACCTCTCTAATTCAACTATATTCAAAACCAAAAACCCTAAACTAAGCAGTAAGCCTTGAATCAACAATTATAACAATGAATTTTTTTAATTGCTTATTTGAAATTCATCTCTAGGTTGCTAGAGATCCAACACAACTTAAGTAAGACTCAATCATTATCATGACAGCAACTTGATAAATAAGCACAAGTTCATTATCATCAAATCACTAACAAGTAAATTTAGAACATGAGAGAACATTTAGATTCATGGGGCACAAAAACTCTTTATTTAGTCTATAGATACTTTTAATATCATGCAATGCTCCATCATACATATATTTAATAACTTCAATATACCCTTGAAATAATTTTTATTCCGTGATATTTAGCAAATAATATTTTATAGGCATTTGATCATATGCATATCAAGATCAATAAAATCATATAAATATCATTTCTTTACTCATTATATTTTTTCATTAATTATACAACAACAACAATAACAACATTAAGCCTTTATCCTGCTACTTGAGGTTGGCTACATCAATCTTTTTTCTTCATTGTATACGGTTAAGAGTCAAATTCTCATTTAGATCTAATAAAAAAAAGGTCATTTCAATTATTTTCTAACAAAGTCTTTTAAGGTCTACCTCTACCTTTCTTAACATATGTTAAAAATCTAATACATCTACTCACCTAACCGGGTCATTGGAAGGCCGCCATTTTATGTGACCAAACCATCTAAGGCGACTCTCTATAATATTATCTGCCCCTGGAGCTACTCCAACATTTTCACGTATAAGCTCATTTTCGTATCCTGTCACTAAGAGTAAAGTCACTCATCCACCTGAGCATCCTCATCTCTGCAACACTTAACTTAATACTTTGCTTCTCTTTTAATGGCCAACATCCTACGCCATAAAACATTGCGGGTCTAACTACCATCTTATAGAAATTTTCCTTAAGTTTGAGTAGTACTTTTCTATCACACAACAAGCCCGATGCATTCCTCCACTTCATCCATCCAATTTGAATTCTACTAATAATATCCCCATCTATTTCACCATCACTCTGAACAGACCCAAGATATCTAAAACGTGTACTCTTATTAATGATTTGATCGCTCAAAGTCACAAACCCCCCATATATTGTTTTGTTAATTATCTTAGCACAAAAATTACCTTCACAGCAGACATTCCTATCTAAAGTCAAACCGGTAATTTAATATCAATATAATTTTTTGAAGTCCAAATCAAATCACACACTCCTACAAATGCAATGTATGACCCGTAAGTTTTTCTAGATAATATTAAATCATAAAAAATCCCTTGTAGTTAAATATTAGTATCAAAACTTGTTTGGCATCCTCATATCTTCAAAATTCTATTAAAGAATGTGTTAATCAAACTACTCCATTATAAATCATAAATATTCATATTTTAATATACATATTGTTCAAAGCTCACTCCACTTCATTTGTCGGATTAATCTATAATATACTTGATTATTTTATTTATTATGTTATTCCTATAAACTATTTCCTAAAATTCTCATTTAATAATTTCTCAAAGTAACATTTTTATATTTCATTGATGCCTTCATATTTAATAAAAATCTCATCATCATTTCTTATAATGTACATAACTGGTCAAAGTGTTACGAACTCTTGTTTCTTTCCTCAGCTACTTCAAACATCTCCTTTTCTCTCTTCCTTGGTACTTAGCTTAATATAAATTATCAAAAGTTATAATTTTTTCTTTGCTCATCACCCTTGTTAAAATACCTCTAGCTTCCACATAAACACAGAAAGTCTAAGTAGTAATTAGTTTTTGCCATTCCTTAAAAGCATGTATATTTTTCCACTTATTTGATAACATACATGATCTTAACAAAAAACATGGGAAATTCCAATAGTTTTTCCCTTTAATGGTCATTCTTGGGCATTTTGTTGAAGACATAATGCGCAAATATAAATGATTACATTTTCTTCAAAAGTTAATACCATTGTTCTTGCCAAAAATGAGAATTTGCATCAATTGGCATCATAGAAATTTGGATCTTCTTACAGTGAAGAATTGTATCTCATTTGAGAGTTGAAGATTTGTATCATAATTATGGATAAAAAGGCCATTTTTTTAAGATGAAAGGGAGACACCCATTTTTATAAATTAAAAATTTAAATATCTATAGGTAAAGAATCACCTATCACAAGAAATGTCCTACATACATGTAAGAGTGTATATTCTCCAAGAAGGAATGCATTGGAGACCACGTCTTTAAAACATTTAATAAATGAGTAGAAAAAATAAAAAAGAAATAGAGCGAAAGAAGAAGGTTCTTTTCCTCAAGGAGAAGCCTAAAAATTGAAACCACTATAATTCATGATGGAAGTCAATGATTACAGATCAAATCAATGTCCTAGAAATAATGAAGCATCGATTAAAAGGATGTGATCGAGCATGGAGAATTAGAATTTTTTTATTCTAAATGGAAGATTGAGATGAAAAACTTCATATTAATGTTAGGATATATAAGAAAAAGATTGTAAGCCACTTTTTATTAGAGTATAGATTTTAATCTTAATTTATCTCTTCACATTCAAACATCTTCATATTATTTTACCTACTTATCCTCCCAAACCACCCATCTCCATGTAGCCTTATCCTAATTATTTAGAGCCAACTTCATGAGTCCTCTATTTAATCTTGTTGAGTGTAAGACGAGGTGTTAACTCAATTTTCTGTAACTCTTGTTAACTAATTCTTCTGAATTTGTACAATCTTTATTGCTGTACTTTCTACAAAACAGGGAACATCCCAAAACAAATAATGTTTAAGATGCTACTCTAAGCATCAGTATTACACTTCATTGCTCATCCATATTAATAATTTCATTTTTACTAATTCAACATGAGACTTCTGTATTGCTCAAAACTTAGATCCATTTAGCTTGCCCAGTCTAATTGCGATTCATAATTATTCTTTAAGTCTTCAAGATAATATTTTATCATATTAATAATCCTCATATGTTTATTGCTTTAAACCATTTAGCTTTAACTCTAGAAATTATATTCTCATCAAAATCCACTGTTTTGGTATAATATAGTCAAGGTATTTAAATCAATCATACCTAAGTATCACGTGATATTTCAATAATATTGACTAATAATTATTGATTTTGCATTCATAAAATTACATATTATGTAGTTAGTCTTTATTCTATTAAACTTAACTCTTATCTTCTTAAAATTTTCTTCATTATTCTATCTTTTCATGAGGTTTAACCAATAAAAATTAGATCTTTTAATTAGTACATACCAAGTATCCCAATTTAAATATCTTTTACAAGCATACACATAATAAACACAAAAAAAATGAATTTGACATTGATTTTTGATATATTCTAATTTTGATTGAAAACACTTCAATCACCTCTCAATTACTTCTAAAGTAACAAGACATTATACATATAATTAGTATTGCCAACATATTGTTAAGAAAAACAATTTCATTCCAATTCCTATCAAATCCATTCATATGCTACTTAAACAAATCTTTTTGAAACAAAAAAAAAATCATATAAACTTCTTTTCATTGCACTCTTTTATGTTTCATTAATTTCTTAGAACATGAATAGCTTCCATGGTAGATATCAAATACAAAACCAAATTGATGCATTTCTTCAATACCAACATGAGTTTTCAAAGCCCATATTCCAATAAACTCATCAATAACTTTGTTATATGGTTCTTAAATCATATTCCCCTATAACTACAAGCTACAACAAATCTAGATACCTCCGATATATTTATTATAGAGAATAATGGATGTAAGCTTCAAAAGATCGAATATTGCATAACTACATTAAATCACAAGATTTTATTAAAAATCATTGATAGCTCCATCACATACATTGAGAACTATGGCCGGAATACCATAGTTTTGTTTGCATGGATTAGATTCAGAAATGAATGAGATAAAATGAAGACTAACCTGATGCAATTTGCTCATAGGATATGATTTGTCGGCCTTAAAATAATTTAAAGCTGCATCAACTCCAGCTACTGGACCTTGCCAAGCCTCATCCTTCAGAATACATGGAAAAAATGGTAAATATGTCAAAGCAAAAAAAACAAAGCTAGCGTTGAACCAATAAAACTGTAAAAATTCTGTTAAGCATGGTAAAACTGAAGATAATACTTCAAACCTTCCTAGAAACACCGAAAATCACTTTGTATGATTACATATTTGTCAAAATCCAAGTCCATAAAGATGATTCTAAAGGGGCACACGTAAGGCATGGTGGAGCCGTTTAATGCTATATTTATTTATTTATTTATACCTGCGGGAATATAGAAAGCAGGCTCTGATTCGGCAGACTCATTCTTCAATCCATAGGATTTTAAATAATTGAAAATTCATTTTTAATAGTCATAATCTACACTAGCAAGAAAAATAATTTCATGATATTCAACGATATACTGGTTTAATTGTGATACTGAGTTAAGCTTGAGAGAGTTGACTTATAATCGAAATTGAATATTTTAATTTCTATTCAAACCAGGTTTAAGTTGAGTCCACAATGATGGATTGCAAGTCAAGTTTAGAGTTGATTTGACCATAGTATATTAATTTTACAAAATATATTTTCATAAATAATGAAGATTATATATATATATATATATATATAATTATTAATGAACATACATGCATACGCACAAAACACACAAAAAATATATATTTCAAGTTGAATCAAACTTATTTGAGATAGTCATCTTTGATTCAAGCATATTGATTTAAATTTTGTGTCTTAAATTTCAAATGAGTTTCGAGTTTCAGACATACTAGTAGCCCTAACTTTGCTGTACATCATAAGAGAAAAAATTGCACTATGTAGTAGAAATAATGTATTAAAAAAAGAGCCTTAATGATTTGCTTCCAAAAAATATAACCAATTTTTTTATTACAATATTAATGCATAGGTATAAAATAAACAATTTTATTTAAAATGTTGATGTCTACAACAAGAAATTTTGTATTAAATTAGTTGGATCATACATTAGTAATTTTGAAATTAGTTGATGAACAACTTAAGTGGTTTAAAATTCAATGATCTTCGGTTCATAGCAAATATCAATAGCATAGACGAAGAGTAAGGGACTTGACTGGCATTTGTAACACAAAATAGGAAAATAACAAAAGCACAATAAAAAAGGTAAAGGTCATGCAAGTTCTTAAGGTTTGGACTGGTTTTCATATTGATACACATTTTTAAAAAACTCTCCACTTAGCTCTCTCACATTCAAAATTCTTTCATGATGTTCCTTCCATTAACATAACTCTCAATTGACCAAAAAAAAATCAAGATATAGCCATATATTCTCTCTTCATTTCCGGTCCTATATGATTCTAATATAGGCCTCGCCCTCATCTTCCCTTCCTTAGTGCTCCCACCTTTAATCTTTGGTCACCAATGATGTCAAATATCTCATACAACTTTTTCGCCGAAATCGAAGTTTCTTATTGTTTTTTTTTTCTTTCAAAAAAAAAAAAAACAATAGGGAGCGTATAGAACTCCAAAACAAAGAAGCTTTTCCTCTACTATGAGACCCGAAGCATGGTAAGATTAATGAATAGCAAGCTCTCAACTGCACGCAATTTAATTTAAAGGTTGAGAGAGCTCTTCAAATCTCCAATGTTTATTTTTGAATCTTAGAAGGATTGTTGGAGAGCTAAACCCTAGAACAACACAAAAAGTTTAGAATGAAGGTTTTGTGGTTATGAAACTTTGCATCATTCAAATTTCAGTAAATCATTATGGCAAATTAATGAAACTGTTAGTAAAAAATAACCTATGTAAAGATCCAAAACTAAGCTAGAAGATCATCGTGAAATCTCAAAATGCACTAGGAATCAAAGTGGAGAGTTTTAAAAAAGGTGTACCAATGTAAAACATGGTACAAATCTTAGGGGCCATGATGATAAGCATTTCTCTCTCTCTCTCTCTCTTTCTATCTAGAGAGAGAGAAATAGAGATAGAGGGCCCGATGGATTGAGAACACCATTTTCAACATACCTAGATTTTTTAGCAATGAAAAAATAAATCAAAACTAATAATCTTCTTATTCAATCTTCACAATTGAAATTAGTCAATTAATGAAATTATATGAACTAAACACTATTTTTTTTCCAATCAAGTACTTTGAATACTATTACAAATGACCCAATAAATATATAACTCCAATCTATAGTATGTATACCAATATATATTCAATTCAAATGAACGGAACAACCAGTATTTATTTAGGATAGGATTAATGGTTTGATTTTTAACAACTATACCAACATTTTACAACATCACCTCTACATTGCACATTATTTTCATAAGCACAATCCTAAACCAAAGTATCATGAAACTTTATGAAATTTAATTTCTAGTTATTTCTAATAGCATGCATCAAAATTAACGGCCTTGATTTCAATTTTAGGTTCCTTGATCAAATCTAATGGACAAAAAAAAAAGCCAATCAATAAGAGCGAAAGTAGCTATCTTAGTGTATGAGAAAAATTCAGTTTTTTATAAAAAATATTTTAAGAGTAATAAATTCAAGTGCAAGAAATCAGTTGCTGTGGGTATATAGTGTAAGAACATCGGGAAACAATTTGTCAGCTTTTTAAATTACAACAACTTTTCAAGCATGAAAAAAATGGACTCTACATTCACCGATATTTGTAAATTTTTTGTGAAATCAAATGACTGAAATTGCTATAAGCAATATAATTACAATAAAATTACATGTTCATAAAGTACTTATTGTTTGAGTATATTCTTAAACCAATAAAATTATGACAATTTTTTCCCATCATCTAGACCATCCACTCTATTGCTAACTACAGATACTTGATGCACAAATAAATCCTTACAGCTTGGGGGTTGTTTGGGATCATTTTTGTTTCTTGTTTTTTTATTATTTTTATTTTTATTTTATTTTGATTATGTTTTCACATGAAATAAAATACGATTACTACCTTAAAAATATATTGTTTTTTTTATTTTTACTTAACATCGAATAAGTTGATTTATTTGGTGGTGGTAGCAGTCATTGACGGGGAAGTGGCAATGATGTCAGTGATGGTGGCATCGGTTGGTGGTGATAGTTGCTTTTAAATGCTCAAAACACCTCAAAATTATTTTGAGTGTTTTTAAAAATAACTCTCATTTAAAATTCTAAAAATAAAATAGTTAAAAATATGTTAAACAAACACGTTTAAAAAAAGTTATTCCAAATAGGCCCTTAATAAATTTAACATCCAAATATTTTCATGGCATAGTCTCAAGCTGATTTTGATTTGGGATTGATAGCTTGTGTGAAAACATTACTCTTTAGCCACCATAGGAATGGAGGCACCACTGCACAATCACAAATTAAATATGGTTACAAAATCCTTTACAAAATAGATTCAATATAACAAGAAAGACAAACTAAAAACTTACTGGAACAAAAAAATTGCAATTGATTATACTTGGTTTGACTAAACATGCCAATAGAAAAGCATTAAAACAGTCAATCAAGCTTGTATTGACAGATACATTAAGATCACCAAAAACGAAATAAATATAATACCAATAAGAATGAATCATGGAAGTTGAAATAGCATTATAATACAATTGATGACTTACATGTGGATCAGGATCTGGCATGAACATGCATAGACCGCACTCATCAGTTATAACTGCTACACCTCCAGGTTGTAAGCAACCAGTGATGTAGAGGTAATCAGCGTCCTGTCTAAATGAGTATGGCACAACTTCGGTCATCATTTTGACAGGAGCAGATGCTATGATAGCCAAGCTCCTCTCTGGAAGTAACTCTATGAGCTTTTTCCGCCTTGAGATGTATTCATGTATAGAGATACCAGAAGTAATCTCCCCTTCACTAAATAACTATAAAAGAACCATGATTCTCAAATAATTGGTACACAGGGGTAACCAACCAACTTTCTAAAAAAATTCAAATAAAAGAAACAGAAGTCAGAAGATATAGCAGTTTAACTATTCATGAGATTAAAAACCTTGTCATTAATCAGTCCATTATCTTCATGTGATATTGGCAGTCAAAGTTACAAAATCTTCAAAGCTTCAAGATACAAAAATCAATAACTTCTACAATTACTGGACATGCACAATATAGGACATAAACACATGTAGGAATCATGCGTTACTGGCAAAATATATTAGGCAATAGATTAATTTTGGCAATTCAAGGTTGCTAAAGAGCCATAACAAGAGGGTCCAAGCCCGCAAAAGAAAACTTCAACCTTTTCTTCTAAAATTTTAAATAGACACGAATCTTCCAAAAAAACCTAATGCAGTGAAATTCAGTATATCTATAGAGTTGTTTGATGAAATGAAGTCATAATCGAAGAAAAGATTTTGATACAAGAACATAGCACAACTAAACTGGACACTTTATTCTATACAGCACTATTGTATTCCCTTCAGGATTAAATAAGTCAATCAATTTTGGACTTCATAAGTAAGAAAAGTCATATGGAACTAGGCATATGCTTTCAAGTTTCAACTTATAAAGAAAACGAGTTTTACATGTTGCTAATCCATAGGAATAGAAAGCAACTTTGCTCAAAAACAAAGATAAAGAATACAAATATGGTAATAGAACTTAGAGGATTTGACAAAGAAGTAAATAAAGTATAAGGCTAAAAGCACTACCTCGGGATGAGATCTACAAGTTGGCTGTCCAATATCAACAATTCTGTCAGTAGCATATTTACAGCATTTTATTGAACTATATTTAGGAGAGAATACGTGAGAGGAAACCTGTTTAACATTAAAAAAAACGAAGTTAAACATGAACGTCAACTACTAAATAGACTAAAAAAGTTAAGTTCTTAAATGAAAAATACTATTCACTGCATGACACATAATTTTACCGAAACATCATATCTATTATGATGGTGGTCAACATAAAACAGCCCACAAAGGAAAAACATTACAGGAAAGGAAAGCAAAAGCATGAGAATGAAAACAGTGTCCATAGGGTTATGAAAGGTCTCTGAGTAACTTTATGCTTATATATTAAACTTGTAGTAAAAAGACATATATATAGAGAGATTGTGGGTTGATGTTACGATGATATCCAATGGTTAAACCGATGAAAAAATTTCAAAAAAATTGACTCCTAATTCGATGTATACTAATTATGAGGTGTTCTCCAAGAGTGACACACCATAAACTAACAGCTATTGTATTATTAGAAGCAACTGTGCATGCAAGATGTCAATATTACCCCAGTGGATCGACAACAATATCAAATATGGCAACACAACCTCCAAATTTCAAGTTAAGCCAAGTAGCTGGCAACATGAAAGACTTTGTCACACTTCTTTCCACATTTGATCAAGGGTCATATCCACCCTTAAAGGAACCAACTTCCTGATTTCCTCCATGAAGTGACTCACGACCTCCACCTCCTCCATGTCAAACTACCAATTCCAAGCTAGTGAAAATTGCTTGTCTTTTTTAAATAGAAACGTATTTGAATGTAACTTGCTTACTAGCATTTAGTTTAGGTCATCACATCTCCCTCTAATATAAATAGTGTAATAAGAAATGAAAGAAGGTAACTTTGTTGTATTTTGTGTTCCATTGTGGAATTCTCCCTACACTTAAAGGTAGATGGATTCATGGGAATTTGGTGACCTCCATGGCATAATCACATAATTTTTTTGATGAGAAATCATATGATTGAGTTTATCTATTCGTGTGCATGTATCTAAACTCTATATTCCAACACGAGGAGGTAAAAGGTGCATCTCTTCCATCTTCAAGGTAAAAGATCATTCATGAAAGATTTGGGGCTTTTTTTCATGACAACTTGAATGTTTACCATGGGGCATTTCCATCATCCATCCTCCACTCCACTCCATTCCATCGTATTATTCATCCATCATCATCTTCCATCCCCACATAAAATATATATGTATAGAAATTCAAAACATTTGCTAAGGGATGTGGTGCCTTTCTAAAGTGAAGCCATTCTTCCTCCCTCTTAGGTTCACCCTTCCAAGTGAAGCTCCTCCCCACCACCTCCCACAATTCACTCCACATACCACCAACCCCTCATTTTCATTCACCTTTTTAGGCTAAAAATCTTAGGAGCCAAACTCGAGTTATGCCCGTCTTCTCCAAACCTCAAAATTATTACCCACCAAAGACGACCTCTTGCCACCTTTGGATCCTCATCTCCCCTTGCCTTTTACAAGCCTCCATCCGCTATAACAATCTTCTCCCATCACTCCGCACATCATGAACCCATCTTGGCCACCCCCTTAGCTATTAGCCACACACTTCCACACCATCAGTCCCTCGTATCATCCCCACATCCTGTCCAACAAGAGATCATTCATTTCATTTCAAAACCACCCTTCTATGCTCCAAAAATTATACTAGACGGTCCTAAAGAACCCACTTTGCAATGTTTGCTTATGAAAAAAGGTAGACGGAATGAAAGCCCAACTTTAGGTGAAATCAATACAACGAAATCAAGGATACAGATGAGAGAACTATGCACCAAGAGTGCCTTATTCTAGGAAGTGCAATAATACTTAAAAGACAATAAATTAAGGAAAGAAAACAACAACATGAATGGTACCTAATCAAGACTTCAAATGTCATCTCAGTGAATTCAACTCCAGTCTTTCCCCATCCACGTAAGCAGTGAAGGGATTAAAAAGAAAACATATTGTATAAAAAAGGTTCTTTTCAATCAAGAGAGTTGAAGAATCTATCAGGATCGCGAGAAGAGAGGCAAAAGCGTTTCTAAAGGCTAACACAAACTATAAAAGATGAGGTAAAGTTTTCCTAGTGGAGCGGCTTATTTACCTGGCTAAGGTATGTGACCCCGGGTAGCCTTCTTCTCCAGAGGAGGGTCGCCATTAGCTTCTCATGAACCGCCCTTTCTTGAACTCCCCTCTTGCGCTTTGCCTTTCCCCTGTGGCTACAGCGGACTGAAATAGGAGATAGAAATGAACGGCAGATTCAACCTGCACGCGAAAAGGTCAAAATTCTGAATAAGATAAATGATTGAAGATATACGAGATTTTAATAGAAATATCTGATATTAATAAAAAAAAATAATTATTATTTTATTATAAGGCTCTGAAAATTAGAATATTTGTAATCTCTCAAGAGATAAAATCTTATGAGGAATAAAATGTAGAGTAGATTTTAGGGAAAAAATTTGAATACTATAAAGAAAAGAAGGAGAATTGGAACACCTATGCTATAAGATGCAAGAGATGGAGATGGATGGGCTCTAACTAGTGATGGCGCCATGAGTTTTTTCATGTGGGTGCACAAAATATTAATATTAAAAATATCCTCAATCTTTTTCATCCGAGTTTGAGATCAGTAATGATGGTTTTAAAAGCTTTTTTGTTAGACTTGTTATCACAAAATGATTAATTATCTAATAAAAAACTTACAATCAAGAGTAATTGGCAATTATATGACACATACAGTTTCTCCTTCTAAGTATTTATATTTTAAAATCTTTGTACAATCAATTCATTATCAATACTATATAAATATTCTTTAAAAAAAAAATCAAGTAATAATTTATTCAAGAATCTCTTATACAACTGCACAATAATTATTTACAATTTTCATAGCAGAAAAGCTCGTTCAACCATTATTGTAGTAGTTGGCAATATCAGAGTAAGCTTTATAAGCAAGTTATCAGGGTAAATATCATTTTTCTTATTCTTCATTGTTTTTTGTGCAAGTTCTCTACTTCCTCTTAAATTGTTGAATGCATTAATATATCTCATATAAATGGTTAAAATCTCAAGTTCACTATCTAATATAATGAGATATATATATGTGAAAAATATGAAGGATAAATTTTGGTATATATATATATATATATATATATCAATCTTTGTTTGTCAATCATTGAATATGAGTCACATGGATTCAAATATGACACACACATAAGTAACTTAGTATTTATCTCATCAAATTTATTGTTGAGCGCTTGAAGTTGCATATCTATAACTGAAAAAATAACTAAATTTTATAATGATGTTTATTTGTAGTTGCTTGAGAATGACGCGTCGTTCTATCTTGCATTACAAAATTATCAGTCATATTTGAAATTATTAAATTATTATTCTCACAAAAAATACTCACTTATGTTAACAAAGTATTCCATCCACCGTCTCTCATATTTTATAGTATTTGCTTTAAAATTTTTACCAAAATCATGAAATTTATGATATTTTAATAAAACTTGAGATAACTCATTTGTTACTCCCAATATAGACTTTATCATATGTAAACTATTAATAAGCATCAAATAATGCATAAGCTTTATTTTTTGTTCAATGTTTGAACCATCTTATAGTATTATATCATGAACATCAATAAAAGATTCATACAAAAGAATTATATTTATAAGAGAATCATAATGTTAGCTCCATTGTGTATATCCAACTTGTTAAAGGCTTATTTCCTAATTCAAATCTCAACATTTGAGAATTTCATCACACTATAGTGCTTTATTATCTTGTCATATTGTATATCTCGGAGTTGATATATTCTTTTATAGGAACTCCCAATAATATTTAATAAGTTAAAGACAGTATTAAAAAGTGAAGACACTTCAACATAATTTTTAGCTACAATGATTATCGCTAGTTGAAGCTGATGTGCAAAGCAGTGTATATAATAAGATGAACTATTTCCTATTTAAATATTTTAGTTAGTTGAACTCACCAGGCATGTTACTAGCACCATCATAACCTTGAACATGTATTTGTGTTGTACTCGACCCATATTTCATAATGAGTATTTGAATAACTTTTTAATGTCAAAGTTGTAACGCACCAATTAAATTTAAAAGAATTATCTATTTTATCTTTTTAAAAATATACCATAGCTTCTATAAATCATTAATAGCAATAATAACCAATGAAATCTACTAACAATTTCACACCTCAAAATATTATACTATATTCATTCTCTCAAAATTAATAAGCAATAGTCAAGAGATCAGCATAATCACTAATTTATTACAAAGCTCCTTACTACAAAAAAATATAAAGAAAACATGAAGATTTCTATCAACCTCTCTCCAACTTGTCTAGACACTTTTTCTGACTTGAAATTATTTAAATCACATAATAAGCTAAAAAGCCCAGCCGATAATCAAAACTCTATTATTGATTTCAATACAAGACAAAAGAATCAATATGTATGTTCAGTTATAGTCAATATTAATCATCACCTAATATCAGCAATAAAATCTCAAAATAATAATAATAATAATAATAAAATCGATATGATCAGTTAAATCAAAAGAGATCTACCAAACTATTAGACATGCGATAAAGAATAATATAATTTAATGAATAATGTTAGTATATTATGTTATACTGTATCAATATTAATATAGAATGAGCTATCAATTTGTCAATCAGATTAATATACTATCAGGTAAATATTATCATGAGTATAACTATGAAAAGCAAGGCATGACATTAAGTTTTAATGTAGTATTTTCTTCGGTACATCTGTTATCTATCATAGTTCTCAATATGTCTATTTTCACAAGTGGCTTTCAATAATCATTTAAGAGTTGTCACCCTCTATCCATCGACGTAATTCAATCAATTAGTTATATACTACAACTAGGATTATACCATTATTTAAAGGAAAGCACGCAGTGTAATTCAGTCAATTGCTACAGGTGTATAGAGAGAGAAAGAGACGGATTTGGAGGCTTTTTAGAGAGATATAATTTGTTTTTGGCTACTTAGGGTCATTTTTAGTTGTTGGCTCAATTGAAAAAATATCCAGATGAAGGTAGCTCACATTGTGTCTATCTCAGTTGAAAAATTTTTCAAAATTTCTAATTAAATTTATATTTTTGTTACTGAAAAAATGAGGATAATTTTGCACTGAAAAAATTTTTACCGCATAACTTTTTATATATTATGAATATTTTGAATATTTTTTTTTAAAAAAATTTCCAACAAGTATTTTAGAATTTGTAAGATTTTTATTGAATATAAATTAATATGAAATCTGAAAAATAATATTGTAGCACAATTAAAGTCTTGAAATGATATTTTACATAATCCTTGATAATTTGATTATATTTTGAAACTTTAAAATTTTTCTCAATCATATTTCTTGTTGCCTACTATTATAAAAAATTGTGCAATTATGATATGAATTCACTTTTGCTTTAATTACTACAATGTGATGAAATACATGTTTATGTGGTTGAATTATGCATGTTGGAAGATATAAGGGGTTATAATTCTTTGAGATTCTATTCATGATTGGGAATATTTTGGTGCCTATAAAGTATATTATAGTGGATAAAATATATGTTTTAGTGGCAAATATGTCATATTATGATGCCTACGAGTATATTTTTGGTGCTATAAACACAAAGGGAGCCATAAAGGGTTAGAATCTTTTGATATTTTATTTGTGACCAAAAAATGTAATATGAACTGCACTATGATATGAATTTCAATTTATTTATCTACTCAGCCTTGTTATTTTAAAAGTTGGATAACTACTATGTTCTCACTACTTTACTAAATATAGTGATTTATTATATTGTATTGAATTATTTTTAAATATTTTAAAAATGGTCAATAAAAGGATAATTAAAAATTTTAGATCGGTGCTTGTGGCCTATTGAAGTATTTTAGCTCACTTTAATTTTTCTTTTGATTTTCAAAATCTGAGAAAGAGAAGGAACTTGTTGATTAATAGTTCAAGATTTGATCTGATTTTATAGGTATTTCTCTATTTTGATTTTTGTACAGTCATATCAAGCTTTTATTATATTTTATTATACGTTCCATAACCATGTACTATAGTTAAAATCTTATGTATACATTTTGATGACATGAAAGAAATTTTGTGGATGAGTTTATTTTAGTACTATGAATATTTTTAATACTGATATTGTCTCAATTTATTTTAAAGTTTAATTAGAAGAAGGAAATTGAAGCATCTTTTTAAAATTTATTTCTTGGGATTGGCCTATCGCAACCTAACACGATAGGACCAGTCCTAGTCGAGTTGGGGTGTGACATTATAAGCTTATTATGACAGTGACATACCTTTTAAAGTGATATCATGCTTCTCGAGACTACTGATCACCTGAGGCAAAGCTTTTTATAGAACTCTTTGTAAATTACCAAAGTTACCCTTATGATTTAAAAGTTTTATAGTTATGCTTTAAAAGTTTTGTCCATTTGATTAACTAAAATACATTGATTTTTGTAATTACAAAGTTAATAGCTAATTCCACTTTCGCTTTCCACACGACTTCCTCTAATTGGTCATATAACAATGGAACACTTTGTCATATAAGCATTAATCTCGGTCATTCGATATGAGATTGAATGGATCATATTAAAAGGATCAAACTAAGGGCTGTTGTATAGTTGTACATAAGACAAAATCAGAGTTATTATGTGAAATCAAGAGGAATAAACGGTTCTAATTTCAACTTCCACCTACCACAGGTAGCTAAGATTGTATGTACATTTAGGCTTGATCTATGCATTTCACTCAACCATTTCCTATCAAATTGATCCAAAAGGATCTATATGAGGAAAATGATCAATCCAATGGTTGGATCACCATGAATTGAATGTTTTCTTTACAAGGTCCCATACCTTTAATGAATCATCTATATGTTTGAGTGATAACTCAAGACATAACTCAATTAATGGAGATTTTTGTTGGGCTAGGTTTTTCTAACCATAAGGAATAATTCTCCTTTAGGAATTGAGCTCTAAAATGGACTAGATTGAATTTGACATTCTCACCAACACAGGTTTGTCGAAGCTTACTCAAACTCACACTAAGAGGCTATGGGAAGGTAGGGGAGTGGTAGGGTTTGGTCACTCATACATTGGTTAAACTCAGGATTCAAATGCAGGAATCTCATTTCAATGAAATTTGTAGTGTTTATAAAGAGAAGTGTATTTGGATGCAATTTTGACAACCTGATTCCATACTAGG